AGAAGGCTGGGAAACACTTTCCTGGCCAAATTCGGTTATGTGGTAGACAGCCAGTCAACAGAGAGGTTTTCTGATTCCCCCCCTCCCTTTTTTCTTGTTCAAAGGAGCAAAAAAAGGGAGGGGGAGAGAGAATTGGCTCAGATTCCTTGAATGGAAAACTCGGACTTGGGGAAAAAAATTTTGAACTTTATTCTAAGAGGCTTCAAAAAGAAACATCCTTTTGAAGAGAAATAAGGGGCAGTTAGTTAAAACAGAACACAAATAAGATTTTGGGGGACAGGAAAATGAAGAGTAAAATGTAGCAGAAAAAGCTGGGATGCCTCTGACAGATGGAACAAAAATGAACTCGTGTATAATTCTATGCTCTTACTCTCAAGTTAATCTACCTCCTGAATTCATTGGGGTTTACACCTCACTTAGGGCTTACTCATAGACACAATTAAGCCAGGATAACAGAGTAGACATCTTAAGACTGGTCCAGAGCCTTTTTTCCCCCTTTCAAACTTCATGAATTTAAATTCAAACACTTCACCTAATGGACCATACCCTAAGAGAACCAGAAGCTGCCTGTAGAACATATTTAGCATATCTATAGAATTTCTTCTACGCTAATCATGACCCTGATCATGTTGTCCATAAAAAAAAGAGAGATTATGTATTGCTGGTAGTGTCAGTCTCTCTTCTGAGCTCATCTTTCAGCTGCTGAAGTAATTTCTAAACAAGACAGAATACCCTTTCTATCAAATGATGGAAGCATCACAGTGCAAAATAGGCAGCTGTCAGAATACCTTAACCAATAACTGTGTTTTTAATCTAGCTCCCAAGATCACCCTCAAAGCTTGCCTGTTCAATGAGCATCTCTGTTGGTTTGAGCCAATAGCTGGGTTTCTGTGAAAATCACACACTTGTGCAGGGCTCCAGAGAAAACATTCAAGGCACAGAATTCTAAATTTAAATAGAATTCTCTCTGGAATGCTGGTGATATAATACTATTGTGTTGTATGTTGCCAACTTGTGGAAAGAACAGATTTTTTTTTTTTTAACTAGTGGGCTGACAGTTAAAAGTACTGAACCAAAGCACCAGCAGCAGCCTGATCTGTATTTCTTCTCAGAGGTATTATTGAATTGAGCAAGAAATGCTTTCTCATAAATCATAACAGTAAATATGGCTTTTGATGAAATTTATTTACTATTTAGGGCACTTGAATGTCACACCTGTGTTCTTTTGCAGAGACATGTTTCTGAGTAATTGTATACCCACCACAATTGGTCCAACCCAATCCTAGGGAGCAAATCCCAGGATTTTTCAACTATGTCTACTTAGAAATAAAGCTTGTTTAATTCAATAGGGTTTATTTTAAAATGAGTCTGTTACAAGCTAAGTTGCCTTCTCTTTTCTAGAAGAAAGAGTAACCCATGATCTTTTAGGGCCATATTGAGAATCATATATAGATTTGTTAAAATCCCATATCAGGGGAGTTCCCAGAAATACCAGACCAACTAGTGTACATAAAGGACCCCTATTTTTGTTTCACAATAACACCAAATGCACAGAGGATCCAAACTATCTACAAAAAAAGTTATAAATCAAATGGATTGGGAGAAAAAGGCTATACAAGGAATATGTACGAAAAGTCATATTTCTAAAAAGCTTGCAAACACACAGAGGAAATAAATGGAAATAGGAACTTACCCCATGCGCTCATCAAAAACAAACATCACCAACCCCCACCCAGCTTTCTTCCTTCCTCTCGGAGATACTTCCTGCTTCCTGGCTTTAGAGCTGACAAGGAAGACTATGGAAGAGAGGCAGATCAAAAAAGAATAAATACAAATGAGGAGAAAGAAATATGTGACTTGCTGGAAGTTTGGGGAGAAACAAATCCAAGCAGCCTCCATCCCCTGCCAGCTGCTCCTGTCTGAGCCCCTCACTAGCTAAAGGCCTGGCCTGCCCTGCTCTCACCACCTGGGTAGCTTCACAAGCTGCACAAACTTTGGGGAGCGAAGTGAGTTGGGGGGGGGAAATCATTTCTGAATCCAGTCGGGACATCCTGGTTTGCTTTGGTGGTGGGTACACTCCCCTCTTCCCCCCCTTCTTCTTTTTACATGAACCTCTCATTTCAGGAAACTTTTTAAAAGTGAGAAAAAGCTGGAAGCAGCTTTAGGAGGGTATTTGGAGGGGGGGTGTCTTTCCTCGTTATTCATCTGTTTAGTCTCCTTAGCTGCACAAAAGAGTATCAGCTGCGTTATGAAAAATGGCCCAAGTCAAGAGAATGTCACAGTGGTCGACTTATTATTTTAGCCCCCTACTTAAAAAAAGAAACAGCCAAAGTTTGCTTTTGATGAATTCAATAAATGCCGAGAGCTTCAGCGGAAGAGATTTTAAGAGAAAAATCATACAGCGTGAGGCCAAAGCCCTAGAGCAGCCAGATGGCCCCAAAGGTAGGCCGACTCCTCCTGTTTTTAAAGCCAGTCAAGAGACTTTTTGGAGCATTAAGCTGCGTCTCCTTCATTCTTAATCTACCTTCACTGGCCTCCTCATAATCTCCCTTCTGAGAATGGCAAGAATGATAACACATTGCAAGTATTTCTTTTCCCACCTGCTTCCTTCCACAAACACTTTTGGAAAACGATAAATTTATTTTTAACTAAGCAAATACATTTGAAAGGGTTGAAAGGGTTGGGGGGGATGTTTTGGGTTAAGGAATTATTTCCAAAGATTGCAGAAATTAGGAAGTTTAAAAGAACATCAACAAACTGGGGGGACCTTGGAGGTCTTCTAGTCCAACCCCTTACTCAGGCATGAAGCCCTATACCATTTCAGACAAATGGTTGTCCAATCTCTTCTTAAAACTTCCAGTGGTGGAACGTTCACAAGTTCTGGAGGCAGATGGTTCCACTGATTAATTGTTCTGCAGGAAATTTTTCCTTATTTCTAGATTGCTTCTCTCCTTGTTTAGTTTCCATTTGTTGCTTCTTGTCCTGCCCTCAGGTGCTTTGGAGAATAGCTTGACCCTCTTTTCTTTATGGCAGTGCTATCATGTCACCTTAATCCTTCTTGGGAGCATCTTTCACTGTACTTCAGAGTGAGATTCTCCCCACAAAATGAGGTGTTTAGGATTTTGCAGCATGTTCTTGGTGCCTCCTGATCAATGACAAATTTATTTGACAATCAGTGAGGTTGTCTGAGCTTATATTACCTGTTCAGAGTTTTAAAAGCCCAACTTTGTTGATAAAGCAAAGGTGATCATTCATTTTGCTCACAATCCTAGAAATACTCATCCAGACTGAGTCTCCCTGAACTCTGCAGGATTTACCTGGAATGGACAACAGAAAGATGTGCCTTTCTGTTATTCTGAGTGAAAGTTACTTATTGATTATTTTAATTCACTATAGTTCCGCCCTGCCTTCCACCCAGGATCTCAAGACCGCCTTCTTAGAACTCCCTCTTCCATTTTCCCCTCCAGCAATAACTCTATGGGGTAGATTGGGTTGAGAAAATGTGAATAACCCCGAAGTCTTCAGTAAGCGATTCTGCACTTTTCCTGGCTCGTTTGCCTTTGCTCTTCGGTTCTTAATCTGATTAGCCCTCCACCCACTCACCCGCGATTGTAACTGAGGGCAGAGGCAAGCAAACTCGGGAAATCAGACGGCCCATGGAGGGCATCACATGGGGGGGGGAGGGAGGCTCTTCGAAGTCAGCCTGCAGAGGACCCGGATCTCCTTGAACTAAGGGCTCTTAGCCTGGGCCCCTTGCCCTTGGAAGACTCCCAAAGCTGGGGATTTGTGGGAGGGGGGGTAAATTCTTCCTCCCTAGTGCGCCATTTGACTCATTTTATCCTTCGGGAACATGGGGTGGTTTCTTATCCGGAAGGCCACGAACTGAGACTTGTTTCGTGGCTCTTCAGTCAGCTTCGGGACGAGGGAGCGGGGCCACCACACACCTGAACGCCCGAAGTAGTCTGTCTCTCCCAAGGACCCCATCCAGAAAAACTGCGGCTTTCCTTGCCCACGTGGGGAAGAGGGTAGTGCCGACGCGGCGCGGAGAGCCCAAAACGAGCCGAGAATCGTTTGGATGGGGGAGGGGGGCGCATTTGGGTTGTTGGCGTGAATCGTATTTTTTCCTGCCTTCCTTTAAAAGCCAGCCTTTCCCGACAGAATGCGCTCCAAAACGTTGTTCCGACTACAAGTCCTGCGAGACCGGGGAATTCTGGGATTTGTTGTCAGAGCATATCTGAAGAACACGGGAAGGCCCCAGAAATGCCAATAAAAAGTGGGCAGCGCGGCAGCAACGTAAAGTTTGACTACACCTCGGCGTTATTTTGCCTTGGCTTTCCTTTGTCTCCTTTGGCGAACAAGTCTGGGGGATAAGAAAGATGGTTCCTGTCTGATGAATAGCCCTCTCGCTCCTTCGTCAGCCATTTTATCAGTTTATTTATCTCTGTTCTCCAGTGCACGTTGAAAGTGATGTCATCGTTTCACCCTGATGTTTAGGATTAAGAGGAACAAATGTACCTTATGTTTCAAACTCCTTGAAAGTTTGGAGCTCTTAGACTCAAAGTCATCCTGTCCATCTTTTTTTAAATCTCTCTATATTCTGTACCATAATCTCTTTTGCTCCCTTCCTCTGCCCGTTCATTTAGCTTCATAAGGGGGATACTTCAGAAACGTAGGCAAGGTTGGTCACCTTTGCAGTTGGATTCGAGACCACCAGAAAATGAATCTATCTTTAAGGCTCTAAAACCAGACAGAATATATATACAGTATATACAGTAATTTTAGGCAAAACACTTCCATGTCATCAAATGTCCATAAAGAGTCAAGCTTGACTACACAGAGTTTATTTCTGTGTTTTAAAAAGCCATTTCTCTGTTACTCATAATAATACTATGGATAGTTACCTCTTAAAGGATTGCGTTCCGTGTGAATTTCTAGGACAGACATTTCTTAGTTTTCACAGTGATTGTGTGATAGTCTGGCAGTGAAGAACACAAATGGATCAGCCCCCCCCCCAAAAAAAATTGAATGTGTATCTTCCTCGCTTAAAATCCGCCAGTATAGTTCCTCTTCATTGAAGCATGACTGGGACCTGCAAAGAAAGAGAGAGAGAGAGTTTCACCCATTTCTGATCTTAGACTCGCTCTCTCATACAGGCATTGATATTTATCTTCTTTGGGTGGGAGGGTTATCCCACTATCCTTAAGAAGAAAATTTTTGGCAACAGCTGCCATTTGTCAATAAAGAAACTAAAAGAATTTTTTGAATTCATTTTTGCAGAATGTTTGCTAGTGTCAAAAGGAGTAACTGGTAGTTGATATCTTCACTTTTCACCTTGTCTAGGACTTGAGATTAGCGAGGGAGGCGGGAGGCATGCAATAAGAGGTCAGTTTGGGCTATCACAACTTTATGGTTAATTTCAGAAGTTCTATATTGTAGGTTTATGCTTCTGCCAGTCTTCCCCCAAGGATTTTAGGGTAGAAAAGATGTTCTTGCAACCTGGCTACCTCATCAAAGTTCAGATATGCCCTTCTGTGTCACCTCTCTTTTAAACGGATCCATTCAGAGATCAGATGGGTTCCTTTCTTTGCATTGCCCGATTCTTGGAGGCAGCACTTAGGAACCCCCTTTCACATTCAAACTGTCTGATCTCTCATTCCTGTTCTGCAGACTCTATTAACAACTGTCTTAGGAGCCAGTATGATGTAGCCATTAAAGCATCAGACTAGAAACTGTAAGACCATGAGTTCTAGCCTCATCTTAGGCACAAAGGCAGCTGGGTGACCTTGGGCCAGTCACTTCCTTTCAGCCCTAGGGAAGAGACAATGTGAAATCAATTCACAAAAAGCTTGCAAAGAAAACTTCAGGAACTTGGCGGTCTGCAAGAATCAGACATGATTCAACAGAAGGGAGGGAGGGGGGAATCAACCATTGCCTTAACCTTTGCAATGTAAAACCAGAGGCACTTCAGTTTGAATCCTTGGGCTATGGGGTGAGAAACCCCATCGATACAAGGGCTGTTAATTAATCTCAATCAGTATATCTAATACTGAGAAAATCTCCGCCAAAAAAACAACCAGGATGGGTGAGGACCTGTCAACAAAACTGAAAAGGGAAAGTTCTTCTGCAAAGTTAAATGGCTTCCAAATTTTCTTCCTTGTGCTTGACCATTCTCTTGTCATGAATTTCCATCCAGAAAACTTAGTATTAGATTCAGATTCATGACTGCAACTTAAAAAAAAATGTGAACCCAGTTCTATGTAAAATTCCTATAATCAGTTGCTTTCCAGATGTGCTGGTGTCTACAATATATTCCATAATCCTCAATCAATGGTCCTTTGGATATACCTAATGGATATTGTAGTTAAATGCATCCAGAGGTTGTCAGATTGGGAAAAGTTGTCCAGAACCTATCATTACTTCATGGGTTGACTTCAATCTCTCTTCAGAAAGAACTTCTAGGAATAGACCCATGTCTTATTCCAGAATTTGCCTTGAAATTAAGCATAAAGAAAGAGAATTATGACATGTTCAGATGACTTGAAATCTTTATTACTAGTACTTTATTACTTCTTAGCAGCCACTGGGGCCAAACTTTTGAAGTACTATTCAACTTTTGAGACACTGTTGTGCATGCATTGAATATTTCATACAACACATACCTCTTGGCCTGTATATTACTAGCTATTGCAAATAGAAGTAGACCGTATGGGAGAAAAAAAATATGATGAGAAATTACTCTTTCACACATATGATTATTGCAATTCTTGATGTCCAAATTGCAAGTGGTTGGGAGTGTCAGTGATAATATGGTAGCTGTTATTTAAGCAAGACATTTGTGGATAGCTTGATCACTACAATGTGTAATATGTGCCTCACAGAATTTTTTTTTTTTTGTCATTTCAAACATTCATACAAGATCTGTGACTCGTTGGTATTTTCTCAACCCTTCTTTTTCTCCTGATGTCTTACAGGTATAGTGGACTTCAGTTCTCATAAAGCTCAATCTGCAAAGCCACTTTGGAGATTATAGGAAAATGGGAGAAAATAAAAAAAATATACAGAGAGCAGTTGGCTGGGGAAAAATGGTCTACCATATAAAATATTTAAAATAGGTTTTTATGGTTTAATTTTCCCAAGTGTTACATGGGCTCTGATCAGAATTTGGATAACTGAATTAACTTTCTCTCTGTTTGCAAATACTTCAAGCAATATATAATCAAATGGGCTAATTTTATCTCATACACTAGAGCACACATACATACACAAACCAAGTTTATTATTAATCAAACTTAGAATGTTTTAGGAATACAGCTGCTAGATCTGATTTATTGTATTGTGCAAATGCATCACTAGATGTAATGCAAAAGGAAACCAGCATTAATAACATTAAAGGGTTTATTTTTCTGTAAAGAATTGAATTTTGTTCAATTTTCTTGATCTGAAACAATGGACCTTCAGTCAGATCTTAAAAGTTATTGACTAAGAGCAAAATCTCATTGACCCAATAGACCTGAAGTTGAAATTTTCATGCATAGCATTGCAATATGTTCCCCTTCAGTTTAATGCACTTTCCTGGGAAGGTCCATCATCAGGTGTATCATTTATTTCCTTGCACTTGTTAAGTCTTTATCCTTTTGTCGATTCACAGTGTGTTTTTTTCTACAGATCAACTTTACTTCACATCAGGCTTTGGATTCTGTCTGCTTTAATTTCAAATGCTAGCTTAAAGTGGGCTGGCAGCCTAACCCATTTGAGGTCCCAAAGGGATCCAATGATTTCCATGCTAACATACCAAAATTTCATACCTTGCACGAACCAACTTCCAATGGAGTAATAAAAGAAAATGCCCTTGCAAATAGATATTGCAAACTATTATAAAATATCCTGATTTTTGAAAGTCAGTATTTGTATTTCACATACAAAAATCAATAAAAGAAATTAAGTAGTGTAGAGAGATTCGCTGCCTAGAATTAGCCTCGCTCTTGTATGTTTCAAACCAGATCTTTCCAGGTGTTTCCTATAAAGCTGGCAACAACAAAACGAAAATAAAACAATGCACACCTACACTGAAGGAAAAATTGCTTTTAAAATAGTCAAGTAAACAACTGGGAACGAATTTAATCTTTGTTTCCTGAAGGCATCTCACTGAGAAACATTAAAATACCTCTTCACCTACTTTGTGAGCTGCTAAAATCGGCGTGTCATTTCATTCTAATGAAATGCATTAGGCTTCTTTCTAGTGACTGGATGCAAATATAATCAGAACTAGAAATGTCTTCTTAATACATACAAGGCTCAAACAATTCTTCATCATCTGACATTTCATTTGGATGATCATTTAATCTGCTAAACAGTATGTTACATCTAAATCAAGAAAACCAAAGCTGTGAACTGAACAGTAGAAATAGTTCCTTTTCTGTCCTTCCCAAAAATCAAGCAGGTGAAATAATAAAGACTCAGGTTCTAATCTCCAAATATGTTCTGCATATTATTTAGTATCTATAATAATTTTGATTATAAAAACTCAGGCTAACTTCTTGTATAACCTGTTGTGCTGTTCCACTCAGCAATTTGGGTGAAGACTAGGAAAATCTCCAGCGGGAGAACTCATTCGAGTGTGTTAATTACTTCCACAATCCAAATAAAAAAAAATATCTGTGGTTGACTTTGCTATCAAAGTTCAGCCCAGATATCATAAAACCACTGAGCTCATCAAGCAGACACTGAGATGTGACAAGAAATAAGATTTACCCACCACTGATTTCAGGAACAAAGACAGGTGAGGCTTTTGAAATGCATTTACATTGTAAGGACTGAATTCCATGGAGTTTTAAAACCTATCCCAAATCTCTTTGAATCAGAATGCTTAAAAATATTGCTTAATAAAGTCGACAGAACTGACAGTTTCATTTGGAAGATAAGGCATGGGTCTTACTTGGAAGTGAAACTTCTTTATACTGCAATTTGAAAATTCGGAATTTCAGTATTTGATAGTAAATCCTACTGAATTCAATTGCACTTTTGAGTGAATGGACATTCAGAGTTCTGCTGATGATTTAAGGTGAAATGTTTCTGCTTATAACTTGGCTTATGACAAATTCAGACACCTCCAAATACAATTAGTGTTATTGTTAAAGACACAGTGTATTTAAGTTAAACAGAAGAGAGAAGAGCCTTTGTGAGAGCCACTATCTCTTTCCATGGAAGGTGAGTTGGGACACAAATCTTAGAAGAACTTTACTTCCAAATAAATCCTTTGAGCAGTTAACTGGAAACAAAAATATGGCATCAAAACTAAAGGAAAAGCTTTCTTTCTATTTTTAAAGGATTTATAGAGCTTATAGTGAAATTATTCTGAACAAAATTATTCTGAAATTGTCCTATATATTTCAGATATGCAATCTAGCTACATGGGAAGCATTGTCATTGCTACTCATCACTGAATCTAATCTTACACACATTGTATTTATAATTTATGATCTTACCTAATTGTAGATAAAAAAAAATTATACTTAAGAGTTTTGAAACAACCACTTCCTGAAGCCATAATGTTTTAAAAGCTCTCTGGTAGTGTGACTTTCTCTTCTTCAGATTTTTTTTTTTTAAGAGAACGAAATCTTCCCTGTGTTAATTCACTTCAGGGCAATGTTTTGCAAGGGAAGGGAATGAACTTAATTGTAAATTTGCACAGTCCTGAGAGAAGTGCTTCCACTATTCAGTGTCAACCTCCACTGAAAGATCGGTTTTAAATACCACAAAACAGGTGCTTACATAAGCATGTAAAGCACAGCATCGGTTCTTGATGTTGTGGTGTCATAATTGAACTCAGAGTTCTTGGAAGACTTAATTCTAGAGGCAAAGTTGATAAGACTTTGCAAGACTTTCAAAATGACCTTCCTTCCTCAAACAACCCTATCTTGTACGATTAACTTATTAATTTATGTTTCTGGTGTCATTAATATAACCTTCCAGAGTACCATCAACATAGATTATGTTTTATGCAAAACTCCCCACCTCAAGGAATTTAAACTGGTCTTTCATTCTCTTACATCCCATCCCTAAAGAGCTTTGCGCTTTGAACTATTAGAATCTGAAAAACACAAAACTGGAATTTGGGGAAGAGGAACAATTCTATTCAGGGGATGGGGAAATATGTGGCTCTTCAGTTGTTTCAGAGGAACTACTTACAACATTTTTTCACCATCAGCCACGCTGGTTTAAGCAATTATGGATTTAATTTAGCAACAGTTGAAGGGAGGCAGGTTTCCCACCAAATAGTGTTTTTTTTTTAGAAAAAAAATCAGTGCAAAGTACCCAAACATTGAGTGGTATATAATTAAAAGGACCTGAAATGTTCTTCTGAGTGAGGTTAGCTTTACTGGTCAGTGGACTGCAATCCTATCAGACCATTTTGAAATGAACAAGCTTTCAAAATTCGTTTTTTTGTTTTTTTTAACCCAAACAGGCATCATCACCCTGTGAAGCTGTGGAACAGGACCCCGACCAGGGCCTGCCACTGAAACCTCATGGCAGCTAATCCAGGCTTCCTTCTTTTCTTTCTTCCCTCTTTTTTCTTTTCTCCCCCCTCTCCCCAGCAAATGTCAGTAGTTTGAAATTTTAATACTCCACGGTTCATATTTCTTGCCCGAGGTCTATCACTAGCATTAATTGTCCCAATAAATTGAGATATAGTGGGCATAATGCAATGTAACAATATGGTCCTTTTCCACGTGTAGACTTAATTAAGCTATTTGCAGCCTGATGCTGCAAGCCAACGGGTGTGCAAGTGGATTAAGAATGTACTGTTCTCGTATCCTCAGGATGGTGCATAATTACTTTACTGGCGGTACATATCAATTTTTGATGATTGCAGAACACATGCTCACTTTACCAACAAGCGCTTTAATAACTCTCTATTGTGTTTTTAAAAACCGTTGTTTGGAAATATTTGGAAGTCTCTGCAAACAGTTTTATAGCTTCTGAGCGCGTCCTTTAATAGCTGCGGCTTCATTTCCGATGTATATTTTATAAAGTGCAAAGGCTAATGCGCCGACCGCCTCCCAGACCGGAGCCTTGGAACTCTCGCTTGCCACTAACCCTTCCACCTCCGTTTTCCTCGGCCCTGAAGAGCTCTCCGTTCGGCTCAAGCAAGGCCGGTGGAGGCGACTCTCCCTCCCTGGTCAGGCAAGGCACACTGCCCCCATCGCCCCGCCCTGCCCCCGCCGCCTTTCGCCGCTTGCAGGAGGAATTACGAAGGCGAGGCAAAGAAGACAAAAGGCTCCGCTTCCGCCGAGTGGGGTCACCTTCTTTTCCAAAATAAGGAAAATAACGTCAAATCAAATCACCGGGCTTGCTTTGGCAAGTGCGCCAGGGAGCGCAAAGGATGATGGGCGTAGCGGCGCTGCGGGGCTTCCGCCTCTCAGGCCTCTCAGGCCTCGTCTAGGAAACGTCCCAATTCAATTACCAAAGGACAAAACTCGATTACAAAATCTCGCCGTTGGCGGAGAAAGTCCGGCGGCCCCGAAGAGAGATGTGGCCGCGACTTGCTTGCAGGACTGGTTGGCGCCCCAGAACCACCGTCCGGCAGTCTTTTCGAGTTGCGTGAGAATCGGCCGGGCAATCCAAGGGCCCGCAGCCAGATGGTGTGAAATGAGCATCCGAGACAGCTTCTGCCAGGCTGCCATTCTGAACCTGCCCGCTGCAAAGGAGCAGAGTAGAACCGAAGCAGCGGTGTTTGGTGAAGGGGACTTCCGGGGCTGTGGGATTCAAGACCGGACGTTTTAGGATTGGCCGAATTAGGTGGGCCTCTGAGTGTTGCAGTCTACACATCGCAAGGATGCCCAGGTTGGGGAAGGCCCAATTAGGGGTGCAGTCTATAGTCCAGGGCCATCAGGGTCCGGAAGCCCTGATTGAAGTTCCGAGGAGCTGTCAGGTTTAAGGGCAAATGAGCCTATATTAACCCTGTTTAATTAATTAATCACATTTATCCAGGCCACGCCCATCTCTGTTCAGGTTACAGGTACTTTGGGCTGTGAAAGTGCAACCTTTGGCTTGGAGATAGTTGGCTTTAGTGACCATGAAGCTACCAACAGGTTGCAAGGCTGCTCCTGGTGAGGTTTCAAGGCCACTCAAGGATTGGCCTCTTAAGAGCTGTTCAGGCCTCTGGGTCCTGCATTTTCTGCCTCTGCTCTCCAGCATTGCAGCGTGCAATGGTTCAATGCATGAGCTCCTTTAGAAATAAGTTGAAAGGAATTGCTCCAGGGAATGGTGGAAGGACTAAGGCAACACCCGCATTTGGTTTGGTGAAGATGAGATGAGTCCCTTCCCTGTTTTGTGGCCTTTTGATGTGTCAGAAGACTACCATTCATCTTATACAGTCCCAGCTGTAGCTCAAGCTGCTTGCTCCCTTCTCTTTGCCCAGATTGGTCCATTGCATTCAATGGGCTCTCGCCTTCCCTGAGTTATCATTCAAATCCCTGCTTCTCTGCCTAAACCAATGTTTCTCAACCTTGACAATTTTAAGGCATGTGGACTTCAACTCCCAGAATTCCACAGCCAGCAATGCTGGCTGTGGAATTCTGGGAGTTGAAGTCCACATGCCTTAAAATTGTCAAGGTTGAGAAACACTGGCCTAAACTATCTCCTTCATCACTGGGAGAACAAATTGAGAAGGAGAAGGAGGAGAACCATGTCTGTTGATTTGAGCATTTGCTAGAAATAAGGCCAGGTAGAATCCTAGTAAATGCATCTATGAGGGATTAATTCAAGGATTATGGCGGGCTTGGAGTTATTTCCCAGTGGGCAAATGGGATGCTGGCTTTCTTTGGCCTCTCACAGGGAGTTAAGAGCTGCAACGGTTCTATGTCCCTCACTCACCTTACCCTTTCCTAGACAAAAAAGGGGGCATTTCAGTTTCTATCCTTTTTTTTCTTGAAGACTCCATAACCCTATGGGAAATTTATTATTGTTATTACTATTGTTATTATTAAGCAACAAAGAGTTGATTTGTTTTTGCACCTGAAGCAGGTGATGTTTATGTCGGGAGACATCTGAAACGACAGCAGGAGACGAGGCCAAATCTAATCAAGCCTAATAAACCATGCGAGTTGAAATGTCATTAAACCTGATCAAGATGAGTCTCCGAATCGCCGGAAAGGTAAATGCCTTCATTAGGGTGATCTCTGAAGACTGTCGAACATTTCATTAATTTATAATTTATGATTGTTTGACAAATATTGAAAAGTATGTAAATATGAGCAGGATAATGTCTTTTCTGCGGGAGATGAGGAAATGACCCAAATGGTAGATGTCTGCAAGATTACACACGAGGACCCATCTATCTGCTCTCAAACTGTGCCTTCGCCTTTCCCCGACATATTGTGCGACTGACAAGTGAAATAGTGCAGATAAACCAATGGTTTAAAACGTAATAAAGACAAGAGCTATTTGCATTTGTTACATTTTATTACAAAGGTAATTTACTATGACACGTCTTCTGGATGTCATCTTTGGAAAGCATTGCCAAGCAATTGCAGGGAATAGATACACTCACAGAGACAACACTGAGAAGCCAGATTGAAGGATAGCATTATGGAGGAGGGGGAGGGAGGTTATATATCATGCACCATGGTTGCATTGTATGTGTGGGGGGAGGCAGCAAGAATGGGACTGATGGGGAGAGTGATACTTTGACAGCAATGGCAGCTATATCTAACACAGTGGTAGCAGAAAGCAACTTGATGTCACAGGAAGGTGATGTCTGGTGGCATTCCAGATTGTTCCCCAGTATTCAAGCCCACCTGGAGACCAGGATGTTGAAAGATGGGTGTGCATATTGGAAATCCTGAAACACATCTAGACACAGCGTTTGCAATGCACAAACTGCTTACCTGGATCTCAACTTTTCACTTGGGGGTTCATTATTGTCAGGGTTATGTTTATGTCATGGAGCCATACAATGAGAATTTGAATATTGACATGTATGAGTCGAAAACGTGGTTAGTTGAGGATAGGTCCAGAAGAAGATTGGAGGTTTTAAACTGTTTTGGTCTTTTTGTAATCAGTTAAATGGCATCTCAACCTCTTCAACGTCTTTTTTTTCTTTTGCATCTCTATTGTCAACTGTATATTTGGATAAATAAAAGGTTCTTCACCCTGAATAAGCTGCCTGCAAACTTCTGCCCCATTGTGTTTATTTCAAAGACGGATCCACTGTATTTATTGGGGTTTCCTCCATATTTCCATAGCCTCAGACTGCTAAAGTCTGTGGTTTGAGGGGAAAAAGTGTAACGGTAAAATCCAAAAGATTTAGTTAAAAGCTATGAATATTCATTAGCTAAGAATTTAATATTCTCCATTTCCATCTTCATCTACTCCTTCAATCTATATACAGAGGGAACTCTCCGTTTATACAAAAACTGTTCTGTTACTGATGTTGCAGCTAGGATGGGAAGATCTGGTGGGACAAAGTGCCAGAAGCCCCTTTTCACCACACTGATTAACTTCTTCTCTTCCATCAAAAAGCTTAAAAAGCCTGCCACAATTGAGATCCAATTTATAGTGGCAAGGACAGAAAGATACAAACTTGTCTGTATTCAACCACAATTTTGGCATCAGGATGGAGAGTATCGAGTGTCTTTCTCCCTTGAGGCCTTATAAAAAAGGAATTATGTTGAATTT